ACTAAATCACATCAACTGATCATTTTGATCAATTTTAACTTTCTAGTTTCAGCTTCTACAACTAATTTAAACTCGTGCGATGTGTAAGGATTGTAATTTTGCAGTCAATGTGTTAGAGGGCAAAAATCTTTTTCTTCTTGAAGGAATATTAATGTCTTTTTTTTTTAAGTTTGCGGTTCAATATTGTAGCGATCTCCTCTGGGAAATGTCGAGTTAAAGTTTATATGATATTTTCGAAGTTTCTGATCCTCCTGTTGATAACCCAGTACGCGAATGTATGTTTATTTATAGTTCCTTGAACAATTTTTCATGTCCTTTTTTTTAAAGCACTATAAAATTTCCACCGAATGTTCATACTTTGCACACACTACGACATTCGTTTATAGTTCTCGAACGAAGGTTCACATGCCGAATCATAAATATTGAAGCTCTTAAATTAGCTACGCTTGCGGTTGTGAACATAAGAGTCGAGTATGTAAAACTTTAAAGGTGTTTCTGTCGGAGCAATGTCTTTGCAGTCGATTAATATAATAAAAAATGAAATATCCTACTAGCAGCGTTTGACCCACAATCATAATGATAGGTTCTACGGATCTTTTGTAATGAAAGTACCGAGAATATTTTCCATTTCACACACAATCATTTTGACATTGTTCATCGGAATACAAAAACTCCATCCTTAAAGGTGACCTCTGAAATATAAAAAAAAATTAAAAAATTAAAAAATTAAAAACAAAACGTGTCGTTCTTTCGAGGTATAGAAATGTATTTTTCGCCTTTATGTTTTTATTTTCTAAGCCGAAATGTTACAAATCGTCGTGGATATCTGTTTGTTTCAAAAACTGGCTTTTCGTAACATCGGTCGCTGTTATTACAGGGGGCAGAAACATCCGAAGTGGAAAATTCCGGTTGATTTACCAACAGAAATGTATTATTTAAAATGTAGGGTACGGATCTTCAAAATGTTCAGTTATTACAGAAACTGCAGCAGCTGGAAGTGGAGATCCCTGTTGTTTTTGACATGAAAGCAACGTCAGATACTTATGAAAAATTAAATAATGAGGGTATTCGCGAATTTGCAGAAAATCGTGCAGTATTTACGGTGATTTTGTATCAGCGATTCCGAAACACATAAAAAATAACTTTATCCTCTGAAAGCCTGTTGATACAATTTTTAATTATTGCGGTACACTAAGAGAAATTTTAAACATCTTTTTTTACACGACAATTCCAAACGAAATCATTTATTTTACTCTGGTGTCTCGTTAGTACATGGATGTAGTTGTTATCGCCGTTGAAAAATTCATGGAGAAGTTCTTAACCGTTAAATTGTAGATTCTGAGCAATTATGAAATTATTATTGGTAGATAACATGTTAATGTACTATTGTAAATATAACTATGCAAAATAACGACGATCAATGATGTTTTATATCATTGTAAAGTTTTACGCATTAATATTAGTTATAACGACTGTTTTCTTCTCTTTTTATTAATGATTGGCATTCATTGATTAAAACATCCTACGTCCAACATTGTGATTGAAAGAGGATGTCTGACAATTACTATTTGTCGATATACTCGAAACTACAGTAATGTCTCTCTAATTGACGCCCAGATTCTTCACTAAAATGGACAATTTGGAAAGAGAAAATACAATTAATCGAGCCTTGCGGCTCGTTTTTATAGTTACCAATTTTCAACAATTATAAACACTAAACTATAATTATATACAATATATGTATCCCCTCTTCCCAAAATTTGAGCGTGAATGAGCGTGAGTGTTCTCTCATCCAAATTTCAGCATGAATCAGGGAGAATTTACTGCAACATTCTGAAAATGTTCATAAATAAAAATTCCGGCTGGACATTATCTAAGAACTGGCAGACCTCGGTAGACCAAGTTCGCGTTAACCTGAAGTAAAGTAATCGAAGATCACGCTGAACATTGTGTGAGGAGTATCCAGGCACGAGAGGCTATATTTAATACGACGCCCATTTGTGATGATTTATCGTAGACCTTGATGAACATTGCCCGAGGACCAAGAAACTTCAGCGGACTACATATCTGTACTTCGGTTAATACGAAGTACGGTTTGGTCGCTGAAGACTTTGATGGTTACACCTCGAGGAGCACCGAAACTCGACGTATCATCATACTGCGCACTAACAAGAATTTAACATCGAAGAAACGGAGCATCGTAATAGTAAATTCTCGATCGGCAAAAGCAAATCTTATTCAAGATCAGCATTTTCCAGCGTGCATCCGCGAGAAATGCTTTGAATCTTCGTAAAACGATATTCTATCGGCTTTAAAACTTTTGCATGCCATTGAACGTTTCTTCAACGAATGCTAATAAAACCTGCGGCAGGAAATATTAGAGGAAAAATACTGAAATGGGGAAAAAGGAAATTTGCACACACTCGGAATAAAGATGTCCAGATTCTTTCCTGGTCTATTTTAGAAAGGATTAGGATGTTCGCGATCGCATTTTAGAACGAGATCCAGCATTATCTTCGCAGAATTCGCATCGCCGTTGAACGAGAACCGCACCGTTGAACAACTCATTCCTAAATGAATAAAATGACGAATTACGCGATTGTAATCTCCATTAGCAAGAAATACGTATTCCATGCTAATGATAAAATTACAATCGCGGAATCGTCATTTTTGCCGGCATATCGCCAACGCTTCTCGTCGATGCGTTAATTTTCTGCCGCTGCAGCACCGAACGCGCTGCACCCGTCCAAACTCATTGATCAAATGCCCTGCAACGCATCGTGTTGCTATTAGACATGATAATCGCTTGGAAATTCAATTAAATCGCGTGTATGATGCTCCACTACCAGGAAAATTCGTTTTAATAGTATTTACGCGAATCGAATTATCGAGGAGTCTAAAAAGCGACGTCAAATACCTGCAGCGAATTCTCGGCGTCGTGTTTTCTTTTTCTTCTTTTTTCACTTTTTTTTTTCTTTTTTTGTTCTTAGCAGAGATCGCAGTCCGTAAACGGTAAAATATACGCGCTCTAGTTCCCGACACCTGAACGAGTGATTTAAAAAAGAACATTACCAGGCGCTGGGAGACGCCGTAGTTTCCAGCAGTTGGTCTTTTGTTATTTCCGGATCGGGAAAACTGCAATAGAAGCGACGAAAGTGATTTGTTATGAACAC